TCCCTAGTGACTGGTCAGCCACAGGGCCTATTGTGTGAGTGGGCAGGGAAGTGCTTGGAATCAGGTGGTCTCTGCTTACTTGTGTCCATCACACCCATGCCAAGGGCAATTACAGAGACAGGCTGTGGATGCCCTTTGTGCAGGCAGAGCAGCAGCCCATTTCCTGAGTGCCCATGACACTGCCAGACCAGAGGCCCCACTGGTTCTGAGTCTCATGCAGCACTGCATGGTGGGGTTCTCCTCCCCATCTGACTCCTGACCTCATGGTGAAAGTGGCAAAGCTGAAGTCTTACCCTGGGTTTGTCAGATTCCCAAATCTGTATTTTCCCTGTTGGCCCCCAGGGTGCCAAGTTCAGGTTTTCTAGCTCCTTGGACAAGGAATGCCATGATTGGTGACTGAGGAAAAGAGGCACCAAGATTCCTGAGGAAAGAGGCCTGGGCAAGCTCTGAACTGGGTCTAGAATGATATGGAAGCTTAGGTTATATAGAGAGGCACATTCAGACAGGGTTCCCTTATCAGGGCCACATCTGGAGTCATAACCCCCAAAGCCTCCTTAGCTCTGCTCCATCAAGTGCCGCCATTAACCCCAGCTTCCCTTCCTCAGCTCCTCCCACTTCACCTGACCCCTACCCTGCTTTGGTGTCCCACACTCACAACTAGGTTATTAGGGAGACTGGCGCTTCACAAAACACACTTCAGTCTGTTCTTCATCAGCCTCTAGATAGGTGGTATCCCCATTGTTCAGACGAAGAAAGTAAAGGCCAAGGAGGCTAGTGGCATCCTTAGCAATGCATGTGAGGCTTCTGACTTGGGTGACATTAAGCACCCCAAAGCCAGCAGATACCCTCCTACAGGGGAACAGGGCTTATCTCAATCCTGGAAAGTTCGCAGAACCCTCTAGATACCTTTTTTTTTGTGCATTGGAAGAGCAGCTGTTCACAGACTGGATGTTTTAGAAAATCTGAGCAGTTTCTTGTGCAGTATATACAAGGTTACGATGGACCAGGGCTCAGTAGGACTGTGCTTGGATAGAATACACCTACTTTCATGAATGGTTTGACTGCAGGCTAGCCCTACCCTGCTCAGAGAAAGCCTTTTATGTGTTGATCTGTGCTCTCCCTGTCAGATCTCATTCAGGGCTGTTTTGCAGGCAGATGGGTGAAATTTCTTCCAGATGACATTTGCCTGCTATCCTGTCTCCTCATATTGTTCCTGATAAATCCCTGAGGAGAAAGGCCTCTGCAGTCCCAGAGGTGGTGCTAGTGTGGAAGGGATGGATTTCACCCTGGCCCAGTTTTTCCTGAGCTGAGAGCCCACTAGGTATTTGGTGAGGTCTGCTCTCAAAACACACAGTGGCTCTTGTGTAGGGACTTGAAACCAAATGGGGAGGGGACAGAGGGAGAGGGACAAGTTATGAAGAGACTGCTCTGCCCTTTTATAACCTGCAAAGTGAGAGTTATGTCTTTACTTTAGGTCTGGAGAGGACAATACTCTTCAGGGTCTGGGCTCTGGTTCTAGGATGACTCGGCCACCCCATCTGGCTCAGGCCACTCAGACCCCGCCCATCCTCTTTCAAGATACCTCTTCACATAGACCTGTGAGCCTCATACCAACCTCCTACCTCAGAACTGAGCCTGGTGCTTCCCCAATCAAGGAGGTCTGCTATGCCTACCAGCAACTGAGCTGTGGCCAGGAACAGGCCCTCCTGGGGGTAATGGTATGGTGGAATGCTGCTTTAAGGGAGTGCAAATGAGGGTGCAGTAATACCTGTGCCCTCAGGTGCTCCTGCTTCTGGTAGGAGTAGAGCTGGTGTGAAGAACAACAGAGGTACCAGAGGAGAGCCCATGGAAAGACAGCCTCACAGGTTGCACCCTATGAGGGCAGGTCTGAAATGGGAAGGGAGAGGCTCATGCCTTTGAAGAATGGAAAACCAGGGTAAAACAAAGAGGGGAAAACAGTGCAATGGAGGGCAGAAAGCAGAGATCTATGTATTACTTCATGGAGTTCCTATGGGAAGACATGGAACAGTTGGAACTATAGTGGTAAGCATAGTCAGAGAGGGAACTTGACTGAGATGGAATGCCCATCCAAAGCCTGGCTGTCCTCAAGAAAAAAAATCCATTTTTTAAAGACCCACAAGTATATGCATCCATGTAAAAAAGTTTTTACAGACAAGAATGGAGAGACATTCTGCAAGCATTGGAAAAATTAGGTGGTCACCCCATTGTATCCCAGTTGTCTACAGTGAGGGGTGGAACCCAGGGAGAGGATCCCCTGATCTGAGGAGCCCATCTGTCTCCATGTGCTGAGAAAAAATGCCACATGTCTTCTTTAAGTAAGAAATGTCTAAGACCTCCTTTTGCACTGTATGGACATGAACCAGAAATGTGTCCTCAAGGACGGAAACAGCCTTGTCCCCCGTGGTTGCATCCTCAGAAGGCAATCTCACGTTGCTGGGGCAGAGCCTGGCCAGCATGGCCTGCTTGGCCATCCCTTCTGCTCCCCTCCTTCCTGGAAATGAGAAGGTTGTTTCTCTAGGCATGCTCTTTACCTTCTGAGTAACAAACTTGTGACTTGGCGTGGCATGGCTTCTTTAGTTTATAAATCATCATTTTTATTCCAGCTCTTGGCCTGAGTTTTAACTGGTCTTAGCTAAACACAGTCACTTCACTCCCCTCATTAGTGATGGTTTTAGGGGTGGGCATATGACCCAATGCTGGGTAGTAGAAAAGGAGAAAGCTGATGTGTATGAAACAACAGACCTGAGATGACAGCCACCACCTGGTGGTATGGAGGAAGGAGGAAAGATCTCTGGGCCGGGTGGCATCACTAATGGCACAGCAGTACTGGAAGTGCCACCCCTACACTCTTACAATGTGACAGTAAATCCTGGGTGTCTTACTTCCTGAGCAACTGAGTATTCTGTTCCTTTATGTATGTAACTGATGAACTCAGTGTGTTTCAGTTATCTTAAAATAATAATGGTGCAGTAGGTGAGTGGCTAAAAACCTGTGGTATGTTTACACAATGGAATACAATGGCTGTAAAAAAGGAAATCTTACCTCTTGCAACAGCATAGATGGACCTGGAGAGCATTACACTAAGTGAAATAAGCCAGATAGGGAAAGACAAATACCATTAATCTCATTTATGATGTGAAATCTAATGAACAAAATAAACAAACAAACAAAATAGAAACAGTCTCATGGAGAACAGACTAACAGCTCTCAGAGGGGAGGGGCCTGGATAAAGAGATTAAGCAAAAAAACCCCAAAAACCAAACAACAAAATGTATAGGCACAGACAACAGTATAGTGATTACCAGAGGGAAAGGAGGTTAGGAGAGGTGGGAGAGGGTAAAATGGGATAAATGGTAATGGAAGGAGACTTGACTTTGGGTGGTGAACAAACTATACAGATGATGTATGATATGATTGTATACCTGAAACCTATATAATTTTGTTAACCAGTGTCACTCCTTTGTGCCAGTCCTTTTATTATTAAAAAAAAATTAATACTTTACTTATTTCTTTTTAGAGAGAGGGGAAGGGAAGGAGAAAGAGAGGGAGAGCAACGTCAGTGTGTGATTGCCTCTCATGCACCCCCTCCTGGGGGCATGACTTGGCTCACAACCCTCACAAGCTGGTGCTCAATCCACTGATGCACACCAGCCAGAGCAAAAAAAAATTTTTTTAAATAATAAGGATGCTGTTCTGTTCTAGCACTTACTGCATGGCTAGATTTTTAAAAATATACAGATTTTTTTAAATATAGAGATCCTGGACTGGGAAAATTATTCACCTACAAGTCCTCCTGTGTGACAGGAGCAGAGGTGCATAAAGGATATAGTAATCCTTCCATTGGTGAGCGATTTTCTGCATTTTTAACTCTCACTGAGTGCCCTGAGCCATGTGTGGTGTTTATTCTGAAAGCCTGCATCAGGTATTTTGATTCATTGTATGGGTGTGAAGGTTCCTATGTGGACCTAGCCTGAAAATCAAGTCAGAAAACCATCTGTGGAACCAGTACAACCCAAACTGTGCAAAAAAAATAATCCTACTACTCCCATTTCCTCTGTATGACCTTGGGCTAGTTACTTAACCTCTCTGTGCCCCAGTTTCCTGATTTGTAACAGGGGGTGATAAATAATAACACAATGCTCAGAGCTTTCAGGAGTAGGTGAGTAGGGTGGTGCCTGGCACAAAGGCAATACTGTGGTGTGAGTGTGTGTGTGTGTATGAGAGAGAGAGAGAGAGAGAGAGGAAGAGGAGGAGGAGGAGGAGAAAGAGAAGAACAAGAAGAACAAGAAAAACAAGGAGGGGGGGGGGCAAAAAAAAGAAGGAATCAGGAAGAGATACACCAGAGAGGAGACCAAGGACCCTGGTGACCAACTTTAGTGTAATTTTATTTCAGTTTTTTTGTTTTCATTTCATATTTTAAAAAGAAAATCTTAAGTTTCTGTAGGTTCTAAACCTCCTTTGAAAAATGAAGAAAGAAAAAATATAGTAAAGTACTCCCAAAATACTGAAGTGGTTATCTTTAGAAAGTGAGATTCTGAACAGTTTTCTTTTTTAGATATTCCTATAGTATACCCAGTTTTCCTCATTGTGCATGTATGGTTTTGAAATCAGAAAAACAACTTTGTGTGTTTTCTACTTGTGTAGAAAGTAGCTACAATGTGTATAATCACAAGGTCACAATGGGGTATACAACTTAGGCCAGAATTGTCCTGGGAGGCAGCAAGCATCAGCACTGAGATCCTCTGGCTAGTGACTGGGCCCTCTCCCCCTAGAGCAAGACCCTAGTCCCATGGGTATCTGCTGCTGTTAAGCCTCAGACCCCACAGCACCAGATCCTCCTTGGTCCCCTTTTTCTCTCTGAGGAGTAGCTGGTCGCTGATGTGCCAAACCCACTGCCTAACCCATGTTAAGTAAGTGAGCCAATTCCCTCTCTGCCCACTGCAACTGAGCCCCAGATCTTCCTGCTTTCTGTCCTGCAGGCCTCGCAGGCTAGAGCCCGTGTGCTCAGGGCTGCAGGTTCAGATCCTTCGTTGCTACAGCGACCACCTGCATGAGGTGCTCCTGTGCTCAGACCTGGTCAAGGCTTACCAGCACTGCGTGACTGCTGCCCACAAGGTAAACCCCTGGGCTGCTGGGCTGTGGGGGTTTGGGGGGGCAGGCACTGCCAGTACTGACACTGTCTGCCATCTTTGTCTGCTACATCAGACATTCTAACCTGAAGGTCTCTGCCTTTAACACAGTGAGGGACTGGTGGGCCTTAGAGTCCCTTAGTCACCTCCTGGTTCAGACTTCCCACCTGGCCGTTTCCACCAGTGCTCTTGGAAATCTAAGCTAAGAAAAGGGCCCTGTGGACACTGGGCCCTACAAGACTGAGTTTAGGAGCAGCACTGCATAAAGTCAGTCCCCCACCTTCAAGGAGCCAGCCACCTAGTTAAGGGCATGCATATGCCACCCACTTCTTACATTTGAGCACCTGGGGGTGAGAGAATGGAGGAGGGCCCATGGTATAGGGTAGGAGTCATGGGAAAAGCAGGGAAGCCCTGTGGAAGGGAAGAGGCTTGGGGTTCTGGAGGTGGAGGAACGGGTGTAATCTGCCTTAGAGGATGAGGGGCCTGGGTATACCTCTCTGCCCGCCCCACTCCTATGGTCATTTGAAGGGGACCATCCTCTGATGGGTGGGAAGGGGTAACAGTGGGCCCAGGTCTCAGGGGGGCTGTGACTGTCCTAGATATCTGAGGCTGATAGCCTCCTTCCTCTGAGACTTGGTCCCAAGGCCTTGCCCTCTTTCCCTGGCCCTTCCAGACAGTTGTCATTCTCCTCTATATTCCCCAGTTCCTGGCTCTCTTCTAAACCATTCCATCTCCCTATCCAAGTCCAGCAGTACACTGTTTAGACTGAACCTGGCTCTTCCCCCCACCCTGACATGGCACACCTATACACACACACCTAGGGGCACCTTGGTGGCTTGGATTCACCAGAGGGCTGATGTGTTTTTTGAAAGCTGTGGGCCCTGGCTAAGTGTCTCAGTTGGTTGCAGCATCATCCCATGCACCAGAAAGATTGCAGATTTGATTCCCAGTCAGGGCACTTACTTAGGTTGTGAGTTTGATTCCCGGTTGGGGCACAAACGGGAGGCAACCAACTGATGTTTCTCTTTCACATCAATGTTTTTCTTTCTCTCCCTTCTTTGCTGTCTCTAAAATTAATATCCTTGAGTGATGATTTTTTTTAAACTATAAGATGGGGACTTTTTTCCATGGAAAAGCCTCTTTACCCAAGTAGGATACAAGCTGCTGTGGGTACTGGTGGTAGAAAGCCTAAGGTCATAGGTCAAGTGGCCCTCAGGCCTGGTCTGGCGGAGTCAGCTGCTCAACAGCTTGACCTAACCAGAGCTCTTCTCACTTTCCTGTCAGCCTGTCTGAGGCTCTGCCCAGCTCACATGTGCCCAGAGTCAGCTCTGGGACAGAGTAAACCCAGGTTCAGGCCTGCATGGGATCAGGTGAGTGCAGAGTCTGGATAGGAGGTGTTTTCCTCACCCCTGCAGAGCATGGAAGCTCTTTGTTCTACTTCAAGTTGAGGAGAAAAGATGCTGCCACCATCACTGCAGCACTGTCCATGGAAGGAGCCTGGACCTAGGCCAGCTTGCTAGACCACACTGAGTGGGCCCTTTCAAGCCCCTGCTCACCACATACCTAACTTTATTTTTACCAAGGAAAAGACCTACAGTCCTGCTGCAGCCCCCTTGGCTTCCTGGCAGAACCCCATCTCTGTCCTCCTGCTCTCTGTCCAGGCCCCACATCCATGGCAGTTGTCAGTCCCTCTCCCCAGCAGAGTATATCTTTGACAGCCCTACCAGTATAGCTTCATTGCACTGAGGCCAGGGTATTGTCATGAAGGAAGGCAGATTGCATTTAACTCTGTTGCATTTTCTCTAGCTCCAGCACGCCCAAGAAAGACTCTGGGGCACTGCCAGGCCTGGCTCCCTCTTTCCCACACCTGTGCCTTTCCTCCCTGCAGAAAAGCATTTTTGACCTGACTCCAGAAGGGCCTCAGTACCAAACCCTCCAATTGCACCCTGTGTGTGGAAGGTAGACAGTGCCAGAGAAAGTCCCACTGCCCCCTGCCAGCCTCTATCACAGAAGGAGCCTGGCAGAACCAACAATGGAAGTTCAAGGATCTTTTGTTAGTGATTTGGTTTTAGAATGGTCAGGTGGCAGTGTCTCTGGCAGCAGAGAGTAGATACAGGACAGAGGCCCAGCTGATTGGAAGTTGTGTAGAAGGCACTTCCCAGACTGGACAAGTTCCCGCCCCTGTGCAGCACCTTGAAAGCCTGGGCACATAAGCATGTGTAAGGATGTGAACAGCAAGCAAAAGTGTGAGGGCTTTATACCAGAGCATGCTCTCTGAGTGGTTTCACATAGACAATTCTCAGAGAACAGAGAGGAGACCTCAGTGGGGCTAAGGAGAACTGAGCTGACACCTGTCTATCTTTGGGAGTGGGGAGGTCAGATGAATGGAAGATATGTGTTAGCTGGTCCCTATACGTATGTGCTGAGGGGGCTCTGGTCATGGAGGTAAAGAGGGCTACTTCTGGGTCTTAGGATCAGGTGGGGAGGACCATTTCCATTAAACAGTTATACTCCTAGGCAGCCTAAGAGCCTAGGCCCTCTTGGGGCTCTGAGAGTGAGCAGGGTTGCTGCAAGAGGGCCGTGACTGAACTCTGACCTGTTCTCCTTTGTAGGGTTCAGAAGCAACTATTGTTCCTGACCCTGGCTATGACTTGGAGCCCTGAAGAAGGGACCAGTTATAGGACTGCAGCCTATAGACCCCCCAGGCCATAGCCACTTTCTGCCAGATGCCTATGATGCCCCTGTGCTTGGGGCCACCATGTGCTTAAGAAATGGAGGATGTGCTACTGTCTGAAAACAAATAAAGCAACTATCTTTGTTTTCAGTCATTTCCATAGCTGACAGACAGTCACTGATGCCTCCTTTGTCCAGCCCTGTGCTGAGCCCAGCAATGTAGGCTAATGAGACAGGCTGCACACCTTGAAGAGCACCAGAACACCCAGCTTACTAGGGGATACAGGTGGGAACCCATAATTCTGCTGTAGCCAGAGGCAGGTATGAGATAAAATGAGGGGGAAATGGTTCTTTCTAGGGACAGAGCAGGAAGAATAGGCCAGCTTCCTAACAGAGGCTCTGCCTGAGCTCCAATTCAATTCTAAATGGAGGACTGCTGGGCAAGCTGGAGGCTGGTTAGAGTGGGATCCCAGATGTGGGCCTGGGGGAGCATAGACTGCACATACTGGGTGTTTGTGGAAAGCAAAGTGGGGGCCATAGGGCAAAGTGGGGGTAGATGCCATGCCAAACTGCTACAGGGCTGTCCATTAGGGAGCAGCCCTGTCCAGTCCCTCTGAGTGATGTCACACACACATTCCCATGGGATGTTGGGCTCAAGTGGGACAGGACTGCTGAAAGCTTGTGAGATGATCCAGGGGACAGATGGAGGCTGAGCTCAAAAGTTAAAATGGCAGGACTCTGGGTCTGAGTGGAAGAGAGGGGATCAAGGATGATTTCCAGATTTCTGACTTGGGTGCTGTTGATTCTATGGACTAAAATAAGGGACACAAGAGATTGAGAGGCAGATGACAGCTAGATTTGAGATGTGCTCTGTTTAGCTGGTGTCCAAACACTGGCCTGCTAGTCCTTGACCTTTGGCAGGACCCCCAGCTAAGGCACCTAGAGCACCTAGGGCTGTACTCTGGCCTGACCCAGTGTGATGAGGCAGCAAGATGAATGTGAGCCAGGGCTTCTGATCTACTAACCACTCAGCTGGTGAACTTGGATTTCCTGCTAAAGTTTGGAGAGCCCCAAGTCATCTGGAGCCAAGAGACTGCAATCTTAACTCAGGCTTTGCAACCCAAACATTTCTGCTCATCCCCAGATCCTCATTCACAGACTCAAGTGGGAGGTTGAGGCTTGGCAGGTGTCCAGGTGTCTGAGCAGGTAGCATAAAACAGTTTTATTCAGCCAGGCTACTATTGGCAGAGGAAAAGAGCTTTAAGAGACACCCTATCTAGAAGTTCTGGGTCAGCTTACTAAACCACACAGAGGTAAATGGTCAGGGTGGATGTCAGGGTACTCTGTCCTGAGCCCCCTCCCAACCTCCCACTGGCAGCCCAGGGAGGGGCTGGCCCTTTGCAAGGTCAGCCTAATGGATAGGTCACCCAGGTGATTGATCTTTTTTAAAATTTATTTTATTGTATTTTTTTCATTACCATTTATCCTCCATATACCTTCTTCTACCTCCACCTGGCTGATTGATCTAAGACATCAGAACATCTGGCTGAATGACTGACATCAGAATAGTCATTCAGCCAGAAACTGCTGGGGCCCTTCTGAGAGTTCCTCAGAAGCCTCCGGTGTCCAGGGCTTTGTCCAACTTCCAAATCTCACAGGAATAACTCCAGATTCCATACTCCTACCCAGGTGTTATTTAGGGGCAACTGTATGTACACATGGGCCTGTGTGTACCTGTCTACCTGTATGTGTATATACATACAGGTACCTTTGTGTGCATGCACATGTATATGCATGTGTACTTGTGTTTGTGCACAGGCAGCCAGCTGTATTCACCATTTGCTAATGTTCCTAGCCTCTCTCTACTTGGATCTCAGCCCATTTCCCTGACTTTTCTGGAGTCAGAACCAGCTTCCCTTGCCTGATATCTACCCCTCCCCTATTGGGGACATAAGGGGTGAGTGTTCAGAGCCATCTGTGTAGTTGTATGGGAATGTCAGTGTGTGGGGCGGGGAGGGAGTGCATGTGCTTAGGGTGCAGGCTTTGTTGCATGTGTGTATACATCTCTATATGACCTGCTTACATGTGGATCTGCATCTCCAATCCCTCCACACAATTGTACCTATAGAAGTCAGGTCTGAGAGAGCACTACATGGTTGAGAGCTATGTCCAGCAAGGTGTGGACCTGGAGGCAGACAATCCTAGGCTCAGGTCTCAGATGTGTGACTACTGAAAGGGGTATTAATACCCATCCTGCCCAGTTGTGGGGGATTAAATATGATGATACTGGTTGTGAGTGACATCCGGGATCCAACTAGGAAACTATTGTAGAAGTACTCTGATTATTTAAACATAGGGAGTTGAATGCAGTGAGTTGCTCACAAGGAGATAGAGGTGCTGAAACGTTAAATGTGATGGTATAGTAACCCAGAAAGTAGCAACAGTATGAAGCTTCTTTCACCCCAGGACTAAAGGGACAAAGGGAAGAGACAGGATTGCCCAGTGGAAGCTACACCACAGAGGCCCTGCTGAAAACAGGCCTCTGACAGGACACTGCTGCTGCAAGAGATACTGCCTATGGACTCTCCCCTCCTCCCATCCTCCATCCTCCATTTATTCGTGCCTCTTGTTGGCTGAACCCAGCAGGGATTGGAAGATGAGTCTGTCCCAGAACTGCCCCTTATGTGGAGGGGTAGCACCAAGACTCAGGATCACAAGCAGGTTAGCAGGAAGTACATCAGCATGACATTTGGGATGTACTGGGTGGGTATGTGTACCTGTGCTTAGGTGGGTGTGAGTAGTGGGTGCCAGTGTCAGCATGTACACACACCTGTGTGCATTTACTGTTTTCACTGGCACATGATGGCCAGCTTGCAAAGAATATTCCCAGTTATCAATCAGTTTCATCAGACACTTAATCATGTGCTAGGTACCCTCCCACGCCTGTCTCACACAGTCCTATGCAATAGTTACTGCCATTACTGCCCCACTTTACAGACCAAGGAACTGTGATACAGAGAATGGGAGTAACTAGCCTCAGATTGCATGGTGCTCAGTGCTGATGCTACACCTCCTTTTGGAGGTGGGATCCTGGTTGTAGGCTGGGCCAGGCTCCAAGGATCCAGCTGAAGGGGACAATTCTGCATTCTTTACCCTTGCCTTGATCCCCAGATGGGGAATGTGGCCCCTGGCAGAAGAAATGGCTAAAATTCCTTCCTTCCAATGTTATTATTGATCTTGGAAGGCCCAGTGGCACCAGGGCTGGGTCTGGGCCCCTGAGCAGGTTGAGGTACCGATTCCTTCCCATTGGGAGGAAGGGGCCCTGCCTCAGGCACATGCTGCCACTTTATCCACTCACAACTGCTGCCTTCTCCACCTAAGACAGACACAGCCATAGACACTCCAAGTCATTGTAGGTGGTTGGGGTGGGGATGAGGGCAGGGTGCTGAGGGAATGTCTCATGTGCACTGGGCACAGGAGGGAGGAGAGTGTCACTGCAGATATGGAGAGGGCTCTGCATTGTGGCCACTGCTGGAGGAGGTGACTAGTTATGACTTCTCAGGACACTTTTGGTTAAAAGCACCAAAAGCCTTTTAAAGTGTACAAACTCACAAAAAAATAAAACCAAGGAAATGAAACCCCCACTCAAGTCATCTGTAGTTGTTTACAAGAGATGTCACCTTAATGCTGAGGGCATGGGTTAGTTGAAAAAGATAAACTTGCAAACTCTGAGAAAGCTAGAATGGTCATGTTCCTATGAGACAAGGTAGACATCAAGAAAAGGAGTGCTGTGAGCAACAGAGGAGCCATTTCAAATAGTAACAGGGATGAGTTGCAGGGAGACTTAAGTCTTACTATGTGTGTACCTGGTACAAGAGCAAAATACATGAAGCAAAATCAATGGATCAGAAAGGAGAAACAGCCAAATCCACAACTGTCATTGGATCTTTGAGAACATGCACCCCTCTGCCCAGTCATAACTCAAAAGAAATCAGAGTGCACAGGTCGTGTGTCCTGGAGTGTTTGTCCTGGCCCTTGCTAGGTCTCTTCAGTGCCTGCTAGGCAGCCTGACTGGGAGTATCTGAGCAGCAGCAATCTCTGAGCCTCTAAGCTTGTTTCCTCATCTGTAAAAGGGTGACAGTCACAGGTGCTACCTCCTAGGGGCTGGTGAGGACAGGTGTCCCTCACATGGTATTCATTAGTGTGATAGTAGAGGGCCTGCCACTCAAATTCCTTTCAAGGCTGTCATAGACAGCCTTCAACCCTGAGGTCTCTTGCTCTGGGAAGTGCCTTTGCTAAGGAGGCATTTCACCAAAGCCATGACCCAGGGGCCAAGGAGCTACATCCAATTATTACAAGCGTGTCTGTGCCCAAGAGCTGAGCAGGGTCTCAGTGAGACTGCATGGCAGCCCAGCTTGTCCCCTTCCCCTGTCCCCTTCCCCTTATACTAGTAAGTATTGACCTCAAGGGTGGCCCCTAATGAATGTCCTGCAGGTTCATCTCTGCCTCAGACTTGGCTTCTCTGTTATTGTTATTATATTGTAGGCACTGTGAAAACCATGGCAATACCTGATCCATGCCTGCTTGGCTGATGGTCTAGAAGGAGAACTGACATTGGAGCTCAGTTGTGAGAAGACCCCTAGGAAGAAGCCCTGGGAGCTCTAGCCCTGGGTTCTCAGGCTGTGGGATCAGGGCTTCTCTGAGCTGAGGCTTATTCTAGGATCTGAGGGCCTAGCCAGAGCTGGCCACGTAAAGCGACTGCTTTGTTTATCATAGTGTTCACAAGGGCAAAGAACTGGAAACCTAAATGTCCAACAATAGGGGATGTATTAGATAGAATAGGATTTCACTGATGGGAATATACCCTAAAAATCCCAAGTCACTAATTCAAAAGGACCTATGCACCCCAATGTTCATAGCAGCACAATTTACAATAGGCAGGTGCTGGAAGCAACCTAACTGTCCATAAGTAAATGAGTGGATCAAAGACTGTGGTACATTTATACAATGGAATATCACGCAACAGAAAAGAAAAAGGAATTCCTACCCTT